GCTAATATGCTGAGGTGCAAGCCACAACACCAAGTCTGAGAGCCACTGCTGGCTTGGTCTGTTGTGTGTAAACTTTAGTGTTGGATCAGCGGGGTCATAAGTACAGAAGCATGTGTGTTTCAGTAGACTGTGTGTGTCTGTCATGCACATAGATGTGGCAGTGTGTGGTGTTGGACTTAAAATGTGCTATAACATTTTCTCAGTCACAGGCATTGGTAATATAGGCTTATGTCTGTTTCAACATTGCATACGCCTCCACCCCCTTCTCATGCCTTGAAATCATGTAACCCCCACCTGTTCAGATGCGTTCCATGGTCTATGCAACCCAGTGAGGTGTTATGACCTGTTTTCTTGACAATAACTTTCTCTTATTTTAAATCATAACCACTTTGTCAGCATTATGTGATTCTCCATTACATACTGTATCCAAACCACTCCAGCTTCCACCTGTACCTCCTCTGTGGCCTTGGCTGAGACCTGCGAGCCTTAGTCTCCAGCTGATTCTCCATTACATACTGTACACAACCAAGCTGCAGTTTGTAAAGAAAATTTATGCACTGATGTCCAGCACAGTTCTGACTTTCACACTGCTTCAATTCTCCTGTTGTGTTTCCTCATTTCCTCCTGGACTGTTTGCTCTGACATGGCTTATGTTTTTAGAATAATCTATACTTTTGTAAATCTGAAGGAGGGTTTCAAATATGAGTTATGTTACATTTTTTAATTATTTTAGGTATGTAACTAGTTAATGCAGGTATTTTGCATATTTTTGTAATGTAAATTTAGACTTATCCATCTATGAGTATAAAAGGCAACAAAGAAATTTAACAAAAAAATGAAACAGACAGTTTTATACATTTTGCATTTAGGGATAACCCCTGTTCAGTTCTTTATAAATCCAAATACAGATACAGTATCAATATAAACATTTTTGACATAACCACATCCAGATAATAGGATTACATTCCACCCCTTCAAGGATCAGTACACAGTTCAAACTGAAATAGATTTAATAGAATAAGCAAGTAAAACTTATTGTAAACTCTGCATGCTTAGTGTTTTTAACTTTACAGATGTCTAAGAAATGACTTAATAATCAATAATTTGAATAGTAATCATCCATATGTAAGCAGTACACATTGTTCAGACTCTTATTGTTTTGTGAGTGAGGTACAAGCCTTGAATGTAAACTATAAGACTGTGTTGCTATTGGAACAAGGCCCATCGCCTCTCTGCTTTAGCAGGTCTGCAAAGAGCCGGCGGGATGTACAGCTTGATTTAATACACAGGGCGTCTGCTGCCAGCACACACACAGACAAGGACAAACACACACACACACAACACCGTAGTGGTTGTGCCTTTACCTAACAAAATCATGGTACACTTGTGGTGCTGCAATAAGGTTTATCACAGCCTTATCAGAGATAGCAGACAGAGGGAGAAAGTGCTTTCCAGACTCCTACAGGGTCTGGGGTTTCCAAGCTCGGTGACACCGGCCACCTTCACCTGCAGTCTGGCTTGTCAGGTCACTGTAGCCATGGCCTTTAGAATGACACAGCTCTCTTTGTATTCATGGTGTGACACTGTGTACTGTAAAGGAAAAATGATTACTGCAAAACACATGCTACAGTAATGTTAAATAAACCCTGTAAAATAAAATATAGTGCTTTTGGTATCCTGTTATACTGAACTAAGAGTGGCTACTGTACATGAGAAACAGTGGAAAGATTGTTTCATATCACAAATTACATGCTGGGGATGTTTAACTGGTTAATGGGTTTATGACAGGTCTGCAGAATCCCCTGTCTTTGACCCGCTTGAGTGGATGTATGACACAACAAGGCTAAACCGTCTCATGCCTGTATTCAGGATTTCAAAGCTAAATCTGCCAAGTTTCTCAATCCTCAGCCATAGCACTGAGCTTATTAAAATTTCAATCTGCTACAGGCTCTCCCTTTCTCGCTCGCAGGATGAATGTGCCCTTTTAATAATGTAACCTGTTTTAACAAGATCGTAAAATGTTCAGCTAACTTTCATAAGCCCTGTTTGCTGAGTGACAAATTCCTGTGATGACAGGAGTCACTTTGGCAGACCCTCAGTTTTAGAAATGAGAAGCCATTTAGTGTGTTTTCTTTCTGTATAGGCTTGTGGTGACTGGAGAGTTGTGCCTAAGTTTACGGCAGCCTGCAGGGAAGGCTGAGCTTGTTGCTGTGTCACCCCCATGGCTGTGAAATAGAAGGTTAGTCATGATGGCGGAGATTTAGAACGGCCTTCTGGTAACTGATAGTGCTCCGCTGAACCCTCCCCTTCTCCTCTGCCTCATCTATAATGTACATGAGTTACACAAGGCTAAACCGTGAAAACACAGCCTTTTCAGATGCAGCTACAGCATCTGCCACATAAGGGTTTTTATAATCCATTTATGGGTCCTGAGCTCGCTTTGATTTCATACTCTTTAATAGAATTTGCGGTTCAGTGACATTAGCTGAACTGGGGCAGGGTCAGGGCAGAGTGAATGCAAGAACTGCTGGCTGATATAGCTGAGTGTCTGTGTGTTGTTGGAGTAATGTGACCTTCATAGGGAGTTTAAAATATGTAGCAGGCATCCATTGATTTTTAGAATGGCCACTGGTATTTATGGACTCAGCTGGTCCATAAATATTGATACTCACTCTCCTAGAGAAGGATCTGACTTTATGCATTTGTGTGTGTTGGTTCACTCCTATGCCAACTGAGATCAAATAAAAAGGTTTGAAAAGAAGAAGAACTGGTACCATATGTGACTTGGTAACCGAAATCTGCTTTTGACCCAGCAGTAGTTTAATAAGGTCAATCCCATTATGTGGTGGTTAATTACAATGCTCTTTCCCCATGTTACACATCATGTAAATGAGCAAATTAAAGGGACAGTTCATGCCTAAACACATTGAACACTAGTGTTGTTTATCCATATATTTTTTGGAATTGTAGTGTTGGTTTGGATGGTAGTGTTGGTCTGTCAGTTGGTCAGTCCACCACTTTGTTTCACAACCAACGTCTCAACAACTGTTGGATGTGAATGGATTCCAACAACATTTGGTGCACACATTCATGCGTGGCTGGTTTATGACCAAATGCCTGCAAAATGAAGAACAATCCCATTAGCTTGTGCTGCACTTTATGCTGTCAAACATTAACATGCTAAAATAAGTTGATGAACATTGCAAAGATTACGCCTACTACACATCAGCATATTAGCAGTGCTGTTATACAATGCTTGCATATTAATATTAGCATTTGATCCAAAGCACCACTGTGCCTAACTACAGCCTCACTTAGCCCCATTCATGACATTGTTGCTCTGCAAATCGGTCCCATAGACCTCTCAGTGCAAACCTTAGAGGGAAAGTAAAAATGTTACCCTTTTTTTAAATGCATTGTTCAGTGATTTGCATCTTGTAGGTGTTTCCTCTTGGCATCTTTGCCTGGTGTGATTCCACTTTTTAAATGCAGTATTTCCATGGACTGTACCCAGTTTTTCTGAAGCAACTTTACAAACATGACACTGCTCTTTTTTTTATCCATTCATTCCAATCCAGTTCCAAAAGGCATATTTGCCTTTATTGACATGTTTGTCTTTCTTGACATTATGACAAAAGGTACAATATACAACAATCCCCGACTGGAATCAAGCAGGGGGATGTTTACTAGGCCACCAGGATGCTCCTATATAGCTAGAAATACATTGGCATTTGTTTTGTGTTCATTTCTCTTAATTCTGTTTATCTTTTATTATTTGTCTTGTACTTAATAAATATCCATGTTTGTTAAACATGTTACAGGCTTTATTTTGAGATCTTTGTGTAATTGTAAATCATCAGGAGGTGAGTGACTGTGCTCGATCTAGTGCCCCCTAATTAGAATGGTGCCTGGGTGGAACTGAAAGCCAACAATGGCTGCCAGTGTTTCTTGTACAAACAGTGGAGCTGACTGATGAAACGGCCACTCACAGAGTCACAAGAGTTTTGATGAGCTGTGCTTGTCTGAAGTGTTGTTTCTGTATTCTAATCCTCTCTTCCTCGAACCACTTCTTTGCCTCAATTGGGAAAATCTTGTTCATCAGAGAGTTTTGTTCAGTGGATAGGTGGGTTTTCTTAGAGCTTGTTGTGGACTGTTAAGTTAAGACTCCTGCGTCTTGCTGCATTTGAGATGCTGTCCCCTGTGAGGTTTTATTCTTAGTCGGTGTTTTGCGATGACAGTGAGGGCCAAGTGGTCCCGACAGGCTGACTTGGAACAGCTCCCACTGCTGACGTGACTTTTCATGCAATGAGTTCAGTAGAAAAAGGTAGTTTTCTGGGTCATTAGCTTAGATTGCATCTCTCTGCTGCTCTCTGTCTCATTCTCTTTCTGTTGTTTCTTTTTGGTTTTTTTTTCAGTTGATGTTTTAGGTTTCACGCAGTTTTCCAATGAAATGAGAGCCAGCCCAGGAAGGTCCTGTGATTGTGCTGATTAAAGCAAAATCACAGTGACTGAACATCTAATTTTATAATTTATTGGAATCCGATCCAATTTCCAACTTTATAGTCTAAAAAGAGGCCTCACAGGCCACAGGATGGCATGGAGCCACTTAATATGAATCTTTAAGTTGTCCTCCCTTATAGAGCAAGAGAAAGATCATACAATGGCTGAGAGGCAAAAAAAAAAAAAACAGATTACATTGTTAAAAGACTTTTTTTTTACCACATCTGAAAACAGGCTGTCCATTACCACATGTTATCATAATGCTGGCCTTGAGTTCATATTAATTTACAGTGTCAAGCACACTGCTTATCAGTGTGCTTGACACTGTGACGGTAAATTACAGGGCGACTGGAGCTCTGGCAGCATGTAGTAATTTAATCAGCAGGCTTGGATAGCAGCACGGACTTCAGCTGAACTTCAGGGTCAAGTTGCAGACTTAATGCTGCGGTTTCAGAATTCTGTGAAGAGACGTCCATCTATCTTGCTGTTTCTGCTACGGTCCAGAGAGACTCGTAAAGACCAAAACCTGCCATTTGTTACCTGCTACTTGTCTGGATATGAGGGAACTAGTCTTTAAGTCCTGCACCGTCTCTGTATGGAAGAAGGTAAGGCCAGGCCAGTGAGAGCAATTTGGAAAAAGAAACCTTTCTACAGGGTGGGTGAGAAAATTCAAGACGTCAGGGGAAGGTTAGGCAAGTGGATTGAATTGTGTGTGATTGATGTTTTCATAATATGTAGTGAGTGTGAGTCAGAGTCTGACAGTCTTGTGGCCTATTTTTAGCACAATTCTTTCATTGTAGTTAGCCACACAAAAGGAATTGCTAGAATCCTTCTCCTGTTGATGATTCATTGAGAAGTGCTTATTTATCCAGTTTCTTCTTTCGTTTGGGTAATCAAGTAATTTTATTTCAACTTTTCACTGTTTCAGTCTTAATTTTTTATAAAACCTTTGACAGACTGTGCTAGTGGTGTGAGATAGCTCCATCTCTTTCCAGTGAAATACCTCGAGAATGTTTTTAATGTCTCTGTATGTTTCTAGAAGCATGCATCATTACAAAATAAGGCGCATGGGGCAGATCCCTCCATCAGAAACTGGAGCACGACTATATTACTGTTTGTTTGTTGTGATATATGATAAATAGCCTGCATTCAAAATGTTACTTAAGTAAAAGTACAAAGGTCTCAGCATCAAAACATACTTTAAAGTGCTAAAAAGTATAAGTGCTCATTATGCAGAATGGCACATTTCACATTCCTGTATATCATATTATTGTAATATAATTACTGATGCATTATTGTCTACATCACATTTAATGTTGCAGCTAGTAAAGGGGGAGCTAGTTTTAACTGGCTTATATGCATGTAATTTAAATTACTGCTGGGTAGCTTGCGAATTTTCCACCATAGATCAGTGAAGTCTTGTAATTATAATGTACGTTTGTATTAATCTGGTTATGAAAAGTAACTAGTAACTAAAGTTATTCATGTAGTAGAGTAAAAAGTGCAATATTTGCCTCTATAATGTAGTGACATCAAAGTATGAAGTAACAGAAAATAAAAATACTCAAAGTACAGATACTTCAAAATTATAGTTCAGTACTTGAGTAAATGTACTTAGTTACTCCCACCACTGTTTGGAACAGATTTAAAAATGTGCAATTAATTTGTGATTAATCACGAGTTAACTATGAACAATCATGTGCTTAATCATGAAATATAATATTAAATAACTGAATCGATTGCAGTAGTATTGTTTTTGTATTTATTTTATGATTTTAACCTGTTGGTGTTGTATGTTACTATAGCAGGACCATTTGTGTTGCTCTCTTTATTTGAGCACAGGGCATACTACTAGTAGTATTTTTACATTTCATTGTTCAAAACTATGTACCTGTGCAATGCTTGATATTTGTGATGAATTTTAGCTCTGTTAAAGAGGAAGATCATTTGGTTTATTCATGCTGCACTGTTGCCATAAGCACTGTCTTTTGCGTAAAGAATACCTTTCTACTTTTTCTCTCTCTGCACTGATGATGACTCACACTACAACACACCCTGCAGAAATCTCCTCTGATGCAACCGAGATGTGTTCTCTTATGTGGCTCTAACACACACAATACCTGTTCATGTGTCCTGCTTTACCTGCTCTATCTGTTTACAGAAATACTTGCACATTATTCTCTGTGGTTCACTGGCAGGCTGGAAATGCAGCTGGTGTTTTTGTACTGCTAAACCCCTGAGTGCATTTATTTTGGCAACCAGCTCTCTTATGTGCAGCCAAAGGCTTTACATTCATCAGATGATACCTTAAGAAAGGAGACATTAAACCTTGAATTAAAAAAAAAAAGCACAAATCTGAGGCATTATTTTAGCTGAAGAAGTTGAGTGTCAGGTCAAAGCATTAGCAAGTGTTGTACAAAGTTGGGTGCAAGGGTGCCATTTATCAGTTGTTTTTGTGATTCCCTCAGTGTAGGCTGCCCTATAGTTATCCAGCTAACACTGAGTGACATTTGCAGTGATGCTGAAGTCGAGCCTGGACATGCTGTGGTGCCCAAAGTCCGCTGCCCTCAGGCTTCTGATTCTCTGGGAATAGAAAAAGAACAACGAGACCGCACATGATTAACGTCTATATATGTGCAGTAGAAAATGCAACAGGCTTGTCTGCTGCCATTTTCTAACACATGGCCCCAACTGCCTGAGAATTACGTAACAGATCTGCAAAGTTGCTCATGCTGATTCGTAATTGCTTTAGTTTGTTTGTTGTACTGTTTGGGATTGTGGCTGTGTGCCCTTGTACGAGGCACATCTGTCAGGTGGGATTCTCTTTTTCTGTGCCATGTCCCCAGTTCATCCCTTAGGACTGTCTTTGGTAGTAATGTTTTCTTACTCCCCCTCCTGCCAGTCCGTATTTGACTGTTTTCCCTATTAAATAGCACACAGTGCCAAAACACGACTGTCTCATCCAGGGTATGTACTGAAATAACCTCCCTTCCCCAGAAGGCTCGAGTGGTCTCTTCAGCTACATGTGCTGAAGCCCTGTTTGCTGTGCTTCACAATGCAATCAGAACCATTACGCAACCCTGTGCATCAGCCGTGGGGCCACTGGGCCAGAATGGCAGCCAGCTGCCAATCACTCTCCATCTCATTTTCTGTTATTTTGCTGTTTTCAACTATTTCTCTGTCCCTCTCTTTGCTCCTTTCCTAGTTCACATCATATTTTTTCAAGGTAAAGGAGAATGCATGGGGTACTGATTTGTTTGCATGCCAAATTACAGCAGTCTGTGTTTTAGGCGGTCAGTAAAAGCTGTGGATTGCTGCTGGCATGTAGAGTAGTTCTCTCTCTCGGTGTACTGGAGTATGAAGGCAGGTCGGGGGGGTGGGCGGTGGAAGAAGAGAGGATGATCTCTCCTCTGTTTGGCTTCTTGTGTGCTCTGCCTCATTTTAATGCAAAGTACAGTAGAGGGTTATGTTTTCCACAGTATCAGACCTCTGGAATCTGTCTTTGAATGGTTGATCCGCTGTATTGCACAGTGCACTTGACAGGTTTGATTGCAGCCTGAATTCCTAATATGCCATCTACTGATAATGATAACATGCAGATCCTTACTATATTCCCAAGAAATATACACTGATCAGGCATAACATGATGACCACCTGTACATCTGTATGTACTTCAATGCAACACTTCTGCCTTAACATCTGTGTTTAAAGGTGGTGTTGCAATAGACTACATTATATGCTGAGGTGTTCCTAATATTCTGACCCTCTCATGTATGTCAATGGGCAGGACAAAAATATAGAGACACCTCTAAATATCATCATGTTATGCCTGATGGGTGTATACTGTAAAGTGAAACTCATTGTCAACAAGGCAGATTTCACTGTGTGTCTGCATGAGATGATTTTTCTGTTGGCCACTTGCGCATGAGAGTTGAATTTATGAATGAGTGTTCTCAGTAGTGCAAAGAGTTTGCTGCTACTCTTAGGTTTATATTTAGTGTGCAGACATACTGTATACTGTGAGGCTCCAGCCAGCACCTGTAACTTAGTACAAAGTCTGGAGTGGAAACGTGGCAGACGGCAGCAACTTGTGGGTCTGTCCAGAAGTAAAAAAAAAACCCACTACTGCTACTGCAGCACACCTAAAGATAACTAATTAATAAATTGTTTCTTGTTTGTTTAACCTGTACAAAAAAGTGTATAAACAACAAGTTGTGGTTTTACTGACGGAGACAGAGCCAGGCTCGCGTTTTCTGTTTCCAGTCTTTGTGCTCTTCAAAGGTGCTGTTTATAGCTTCATATTTATTGGAGAGTTAAGAGTGGCATCCATACATCAGAAAGAAATTAAATAATCATATTTTGCAAGAAGAGATTCTTTAAGTCATAGGAGTAGCCATTTAAAGTACTAACTTAATTTTGTGTTGTGTAATTTTCTGCAGTTTAAGTAACACACATCATAATAAAAAGAGAGTTTGAAGAGAAAAATTACGGGCAAATTATGTTCCAAGAATTAAAAGTATATAATGGCCAAGTGTGTAGATGTAAGACCTTTTGCAAAACGTCATATCTTTGGTTTCAAATAAAAACTTTTGCCAAGCCAGCACAAATGCCATGGTAACTGCTGAGAGCAGTGCAGCATTTGTGTAAGTGTTCCCACTGGAAACATAATCAGTGTGGTCCTGTGTTGCACAAAGGGTAGAATTTGACATATTTCGCAATGTGTATTCTCAGACTGTGCCAGTCGGCATTTACATTACATAACACTATGCATTGTGTTATTTGTTACTGCATAATTACAGCTATACAAAATGGATTACACAGTGTGTGTGAATACTTGGGCATGCTTGTTATATTCAGTCTTTTAAAACATTCGAACAGTGTTACTGAATGATGGCTTATGAACGATATTTGTAGTGAGTTCTACTGAGCTTGGATCAGTACTAATGTTGGTTCTGTTTCAGCCTCTGCTGAATCGAGGCAGCAGAAATTGATGATGACGAAGTAGTGTTCTTTCCAAGAACGCACATACACACACACTGGTACACACAAACAAATCCTACAACACTCTATGTCAGGTTCAGTCGGTCTGGCAGTCAACGAGTATATAACGTTACCTTTTGTGGGAGGAAGCATGAAATTAGGGTGGCCGTTCACACGGTTTCAAATTGACTTGCTTTTCTTTTGTTGTTGAGTACAGAAAGGAATAATAACATTTGTGAGTAACCTAAGAGCTCATAAAAATTCAGTGCAGTGGAGCGAATTAGATTTGGGAAAACAGAAAAACCTGTCATGAGTATTATTATGGCAGCGAGATATTAGTCTAACCTCTCTCTGTCTCCAACCCACTTGTCTGTTTGAGTACATTTTTCCAAAAGCAAAAATCTGGAGTTTATAGTGGTAGAAATGGAGAGTCCAGTGACTGACAGGTTGGATTGTTGCTTTTCTGCACTTTATCCTCTCCCCAGTGTGCAGGAATCCAAGTCCTGACAACCGATCTTTGATCCCTGGTTGAGGACAGGGGCATCCTGACAAGCCATTTGTAGCAGCAGCGATCTGCTCTGTTGTTTATATGCTAATGCTGGACTCAGTCACTCCCACACCACTG